CCTATCAAGCCCGAGGCTCTGACTTCAAACTCCAGTACCACCAAAAAGAAAAAAAAGTATAATAATTAAAATTAAACAAACAATGTCTGTTGGGTGTAAGGCATGCTGATAGACTCAGACAGCCGTGAGAGAGTGGCCAGCCATGGGGAGTTGAGCAGAGGAGCTGTGTAGTGCTGACAGTCTGAAGTCTGAATGGAGTACGTTCTACCTGTGATCTGCTTGCTCTCTGCTCTGAATTCCTCTAATGAATAGACTTTGTCTTCCTTTGTGCTGAGCTGCCCCAGCAGTTTCGATCACAGTCTAATGTTGTGGTTTAAGCAGCACTTCTCAAACTTTTATGTGCTTATGAATCAGCCAGGGATCGGGTCAAAATTCAGATCTTGATTAAATCAGTCTGGGGGAGGGGCTGAGATTCCTCACCCCTCACAGTCTCCAGATGATGTTAAAGGTCTCTGTGTGGAGAGGCCTAGGTTTGTGACTTTGGAGTCATGTTCACTGGGATTGAATTTGGGAGTTTCTGGTTAGAAGTTGTGACCTCTAGAAAGTTATTTAGCCCTTGTGTGCCTGCCTCTGTTTTGTCAACTGGGCCTCTTCATAGAGCTGTGAGAAGGTTCAGCAAGCAACAAAGGCTAGGAAATAGAGATGATGAAAATAGAGATTCCAACTCCCAGACCCCTAGCCTGAACTCAGTTCATGAATTATTCAAGCCAGGCTGCCATTTACCTTGGGCCCAGGGCCCATTCAGCTGACAGTAAGTATTAGCAAAAACAATTGCAAAGAAGATAGAAACATTGACTCATGATTGAACTTCTCTTAAATCCTGCCCCTGGGTGGAGAGTCCTGCCACAACTCCCTTGGGGAGCAGGCTCAGTCCCCTACAAATTCCTAGGCAACAGGCCTCCTTCCCACTTATTATTGCTGCAGATGTATCTTAACAGTGATATTTTTTTCAGTGTTCTGTGTTTTTTTTTTGGAGAAATCTGTTAACTAAAGGGCAAATTGTTGTGTAGGGTTTTTTTTTTTTTTGGTAGTACTGGGGATTGAACCTAGGGTCTTGCACATGCTAAGCAAGCACTTTACCACTTGAGCTATGCATTCAATCCTGTTGGGTAGTTTTGTTTTTCTTTTTCATCTACTTCGTTAAGTAGTTCTTGAAGAATTGGAAATAATCATTCGGGTCGTGGGGTTTTTTTTTTGTTGTTTTGTTTTTTTTAATGTACTGGGGCCTTCACCTTGAGCCACTCCACCAGCCTTGTTTTTGTGAAGGGTTTTTTGAGATAGGGTCTCCCAGAACTATTTACCTGGACTGGCTTTGAACCACGATCCTGCTGATCTCTGCCTCCTGAGTAGCTAGGATTGCAGGCTTGAGCCATGGGCGCCTGGCTTGTTGTGGGTTTCTCAATCCTCAAAGGTGTGAAATATCAAGGAAAGGTATTTAGGTGTTTTGGCATGTCCTTCCTTCCACTGATTTTAAAGAATAATAATTAGGATCCAAGTGCCTGTAGTCCTAACTGTTGGGAGGCTGGGCTTGTGGGAGGATCATGATTTGAGGCTAGCCCAGGCAAAAAGTTCACGAGACCCCATTTCAACTAAGCTGGTGTGGTGGTACATACCTGCTATCCCAAGCTATGTAGAAAGCTGAAAGGGGTGGATTGTGGTTCCAGGCCAGTTGGGGCAAAAAAGTTTGAAATCCCATCTCAACAGGAAAAAGGGTGGGCATGGTGAGGTGTGACTGTTGTCCCAGAAACAAGGAGAAGCTTAAAATAGGAGGAATTATGGTTTGTGCAAAAAGTGAGCCCCTGTCTCTAAAAACTAGAGCAAAAAGGGCTGGAGGCTTCACTCAAGAAGTAGAGTGCCTGCCTAGCAAGTGCAAAGCCCTGAGTTCAAACCCCAGTACTGCCAAAAGAAAAAGAGTTAGTAATTAGGCTTATCACTGAAGTATAATAGTGCCTTGTATTCCTTTTCCCAGATCTTCCTGTCTTTACACCTTCCCTGGCTTCATGCCCTGTCATTACTGTACAATGGGCTGGGTGTCAGATTATTTTATTCCACCTATCCATAGCACCCTTTACTTCTACCTCACAGCTCTTGATACAGCTGTGCTTAGTAACATATTTGTGTAATTGCTGTGTAAAGCCTGGCTTCCCCCTTTGCCTGGAAACTTCGTGGTGGCAGACAAGGCTCCTTCTCTTTATAGCTATATGTACAATGGTGCCTGCTTCAGGGCAGCTGCCTAATGCACGTTTTTGAGCCAAGACGAGTGGCCAGGGCTGGTGGACAAATTGGAACTCTTGTACTTAAAAGAATAGACAAAGTGATTCCCCAGTCATTCTGTAATAAAAAGGATCTTGATGTCAGTTTCTCTTCTAGTTCTACCACTTAGTGATTTTGGGCTGGTTTATTTTGGAGCCTCAGTTTCCATTGCCTTCATATTGGGTCATCATAATGCAAGGGCCCAATAAAATAATGCATCTAAAACATGTGGCACAATGCTTGTCATAAAGAAATAGCTCATATAATTTTGATTATTTGGTTACTGATTATCTGCTGGTTGGTGCTTAGAATGGCATGATCAGATTTCTCCTCTTGTTCCCAGTTCCCTGTTAATTTTCTTTATGAATTAGAAAAAGCTAGCAGTCTTGCTCAGATCATTCTCTCTCCTTACCCCTCACCATTATGGTGTATTGGGTGCCTTGATCTGGGCATGCCTCAGAGCCATCCACATTGGGTGGTCTGGAAGGGTTAGTCTTTCCTCTGCTGCTCTTCTGCTAGTTCCTTCCCACCTGGGCTCCGTATGTGACCTTCCTGGAGAAGGACAAACGCCAGTGACTCTGTGTCTGGGGAAAGGCCTGGGTGCCTGCACCTCTGGCCCTATTCTCAGGCCTGGGGGTGTAAGGGGTATCTAGGTGAGGCAGGGCTCCAGGCCACGCCTTGGCAAGGTGGGCCACTGGGGATCTTCTGGGAGTGGTTGTTAGCATCCTGCTTGCTGTCCTGTCAGCTTAGCATCCTGCTGCTGTTAGTCAGCTCCCTAATGAAGCTGGTCTTTGGCTTCTGGGACAGCTGATTTCCAGGGGAGTATTTGTATTACATACTTTAATGCTTTTTAATAGCAAATTTTTAATTAAATGGAAAGTTCTTTTGGAAGCAAGGGAGCAGCCACAGGAAGACTCAGCATGAGGTACAAAGTGAGGAGGGAGTTGGTGGAGGTGGTGGGTATTTGGGGATAGAGCAGGTTGAGCATGCTGGCTGAAGTGGGTGGGAAGGTAGCAGGGGTCTGGCTATAGCTTCTTCCTTCTGTCCTGAAAGCCCTCCCCTGTTACCTGCAGGCCTAGGGAAGCATGTAGGGTTGAAAAGCCAGATAAATCAAATCAGGTAGGTAAGATGATGTGGATGTGTTAGGGAGTCATTAGGCCCTGGATCTAGCCCTGTTAGACCTAAGTCCTCATTTGTCAAGTGAGGAGAGCAAGGGGACTGTAGTAATGGTTCACTGCCTCCTGGCATCTGGATCTTGTATTTTGTGTTCTGATTGATCTTGGTTCTTCAGTGTGACAGGGATATAGGGAAGCACCTCAGCTCTTAGGAGATGCTCTGGCACTAGGGATGGGAGAAGTCTGGGCCCATCAAGGAAAAGACACCGTGACTTCTTTGTATCTAAGCACTTCATCGTTGGTTTGATGTCAGGCTATTCCTGAAGTACTCTGGGAGGTGCTGAGGACTAGAGCAAAGGTCAAACAGAGGGAGTCTTTTGGAACACAGGTCCTCCATCAGAAGAGTTCAGGTTAGGGGAGGGACAGGAACATTGGGGACAGGCAGCCAAAGCAAGTCCTGTTTGTATTAGAGTGATGCTCAGGGGATGGCATTTAACCCAGAAGTGGCTTTGTGGGCAGAAGCTTGAAGAGGAGACCTCAGAAGACATTAGGTTGGTCTTTTGCCCAAGAGCTTTGAAGGTAGAATTGGGAAGGGATTCTGCTTGCCAGCCTTTCCTTGCACTTGGTGAATTGCCCTAATCTTCTCCACGCACTGCCCTCTTGGACCCATTAGTGGTGCTGTTGTAGGTACATTTGTGAGTAGTCTTTCCTGGGGTCTATTGTTTGCTACTTATTTTGTGGGCTGCTCCCCATTTCTTGTAGGGTACTGTGGAGTGAACCAGCTTTTGAAATCAGAGAGGCCTCAGTCCACATCTTGACCCACCACTTTGTAGCTCTTTTGGCCTTTAGCAAGAGACTTTGAATCTTTGAGCCTTCATTGTCTTCTTCTGTAAAGTGAAAATAGCATTCATCTTAGGGAGGTGTAATACTCGTTGAAGGCAGGAACCATGTCTGTCTCTTGTAAATATACCACCTAGCCCAGGGTCAAGCACACAGTAGTGCTCAGTAAATGGTTATGGAATGAGTAGTGTATGCCAAGAACCCAATATGAGGCTGGCATAACAGTAAGCAGTTGATAAGTGATTATTGTCGTTGTTGCCTGAATGTATATGTGACCTCCTGTGTTCACCATCCACTTTCATGCTTCACTGGCCTTCCTGCTAGGCTCTGCTTTCCACCTTCTTCCACTCCCCTTCATTCTGCTGTTCCCATTTGCTCCTCTGAATGAGCTCCCAGGCTTTACCATCTTGTCATTTTTCCATCCCCTGCCATCAGCATTGCTAGGTATTTCTCAGTCTGTTATACCACCATGTGATATGTCCCAGGACTACTTTTCCTGGGACTAGCCTCTAGTGGCTAGTCTCCTGCTTTTATCTATCTTGCCTTCTTAGCCATGAAGCTTCTGGTTTTTTTTTGCCTCAGTCAGAGGTAGGATCTGAGTACTGATCTTTTGCTGTGGCTGTGTAATGTTGGCTTGGGGGTACTGGGCATGTTGCCACTTTCTCTGCAGCTCCTTCGGAAGGGAGCCCAGTGATGCTGACAGGATGGAACCAGGGTGGGGTTGCTAAGGAGGAGAATAGAATTTCTGAGTTTTCTCTCTGTTAATCTCTGTCCCCATCTCCTCTCTTACAGTGCGCCTCCATGACAGTATTTCTGAAGAAGGGTTTCACTACCTCGTGTTTGACCTGTAAGTGCCACTTTCTGAGGGGGTGGGGGCCTTTTCCTCCAGCTGGCTCAAGATGAAGTCTTGGGAAAAGGCTAAACTGGGTCTTCAGCCTCTGCCAAGGGTCCCTCTCCTTTGTCTGAGGGAAAGAACTTGATTATGAACTTCCTCTGGGAATGGGCCAGGTTGCCAGCCTGAAGTCCCCCAGGGGTTTCATTGCTCACTCACTCTCTTCAGAACTTGAACCCCACGATGGTGTTGTTCTTGCATTTCTGTTCTGCAGTGTATCTTGCACAGATGTTTGTTTTCTTGTTTCTTGGTGTGTTGTCCTTACTGGAGAAATAAAATACAGCTCTTTGCATGACCTTAAAAATTCTGGGAAGTTAAGAGTAGCTTTTATTGGTTGTGATACTGGGCTCCATTTGGTCTCTCTTCCACTTCTGTTGTGCTTTATTATCTTGAAAGTGGCTCTTTACCTCCTGGAAACTCTTCTCCAGTATTGTCAGGGTTGGGTTTCTGTGTCCTTGGTCTCATTATTCTTCAACTTTTGTAGTAGGTCTGTCCTTCTTGGACAGCTATGTGTTAGTTGTTCATATTGGCTTCAGACAAAGCTAAGACTTTTGGGGTAGATTGGATATTTTCTCTTAGGTCACTGTATCTTCATTACTGCCTCAGGGTTAACTAATCTGTAGGTTATGGAAAAAAAATGTCTGGAAAGAAAGGAGAGTCCATGATATCCCAAGGAGAAGCCCTATGTAATTGAACTCTCAGATAAATGGAACTTGGAGTTGGGATTTTTCTAAAAGCTGTTTTACAATGAGACTCTGTTACTGTTGGATGCTGGGGTTGGCCAAGTGACCCTTGCCTAATTTGACCATTTCTTCTTTTGGTTGCAGTGTTACCGGCGGTGAGCTATTTGAAGACATTGTGGCCAGAGAGTACTATAGTGAAGCAGATGCCAGGTGAGATGAAGGCTCCGTTGTTTTAGTGCAACTCTAGAGTTTAGGATTGAAATAAGTCTTGGCCACTTTAGGGGGCCTGTGTTGTATCTATTCAAATAGTCTTTGGAGAAGATCAGAGAACAAGATTCTGTGATCTGAACTAGGGCTGCATTCTGTGGGCAATGTTAGAAGTTAAAAATTCAACACCCCCAAGTCATTTTCTTTCAAAGCCTTTTCCAGGACTTCTTTACCCTATTACCCCAGAAATACCTTTTCTTTGCACTACTGTCACAAGGGCCCTCTCTACATCTTTTTTTCTTCTGACAAATCCTAGTATGTACAAGCCACTGAGCTGAGGTCTTGGGGTAATCAGAGATGGAGAAAGCATAATATCTGAAGGAGTATGAAACTGGGGAGCTTCCTTGAGAGCCTTTGGCCTCTGTCACCCTGTCCCTTAACTACCATGGCCAGCTTCAACATGGGGCTCCTCAGACTAGGGGACTGTTCCCCAGGCCCATGCTTAGCTCACAGCTCTCCATGAAAACCCTGCTGGCGTCTTCATGTGACACAGCAGAATTCCACCCCCACCACAGCTCTCAGGTGCTTGTTTGGCCTGCATTTCCCACCTTGGCTCTGACCCCTCTTCCTCCTCCCCAATCTCACTTCTCTCTGAGGGTGACAGTCCTTACAACCTGGTTACCATCCTGCCTGCAGCTTATCTGATTTATGTGGTGGCTCAGGCCGCCTCTGGAGAGTGGGGGAATGCAGCTTCCTCATGAATTTCTTAACCCTGAGCAGCCAATGTCTGCTGATCAACTTCAGATGCTTCAGGCTCAGGAAGAATTCTCAAGTGGGGAGATGAATTCCAGTGCCAGTAGGGGAGGACCAGGCTATGGGGGCGGGGGGAGGCGTTGATAACTCAGGGAGGTAGGGGGTGGGGTGGAGAGGAGGGAGATTGTACCAGTGGGCTTGGCCTGGCTCTGCTGGGACACTTCGCACTTTTGCCATTTTTGGCCAGAAGGCTCTCCCTGCTAGCTGGGCTCTGTTCTAATTATACATTTCTGTGGAGAGTTGCCTCTGCAGCTCAATCTTAAAGTCCCTTTGGCCCACTTTTGGACTCTATCCGGTGGGCCCCAAGCCTTAGCTACTAAGGGCCCAGTAAGACCCTTTGACTTTTGTAGGAGCCTCAGCACCAGATATTAGAGAAAGGAATCAAAAGTCCAAACCACACAGCCCAGCAAGCCTGGATACTCTGGGGACCTGCTCAGCATACCTGGTGGGACCTGATGACTGGGCAGTCTATTCTCTAGGCCAGGCTTCCTCATCCTCAGTGCTACTGACCTTTAGGTCAGATAATTTTTTTGTTGTGAAGGCCTCTTCCGTGCATGATACACTTGGAAACATCCCTTGCCAGTAGATGCCAGAAACATCCTCTCACCTCACCAACTTGTGACTGTCAGAAATGTCTCTAGACATTGCCAAATGTCCCCTGGGGTTGGGGGGCAAACTCACCTCCAGTTGAAAACCTCTGCTCTAGACTGCTCAGAGTTCCTGCCAGGGGTGTGACTGCAGGGCTGGCAGGAGAGTTTGCAAGGTGGACCCTGCTCAAGGGTAGAGTGCCTGTTTTGCAAGCACGAAGCCCTGAAGTCAAACCCCAGTCACACACACACACACAATTAGTAGAGGTAGGTGACTCTGGGTTTTTCTATGCAAAATCATGGAAATGCTCCTCAGGTGCCCTGCTTAGAATCCCTTAAGTATAGTGTTTCTGAAAAGAATGTTTGTGCTTATTTTATCTCCCCTAGTAGATGATAAACTTCAGAGTCTTGTTCAGCTTTATATATAGTGTGGTACCAAGCACAACACCTTAGAGTCACTCAGTAAATGTCTCAATAAACAAAGGAGTGCACTCATCGTCAAATCAATGTTGGTGCTCTCTTAAGTTGCTGGCACAAGCTTCTTCTCCAAGAAAAAGTTACTCTATGAGGAAAGAGAAAGAAAGAAGGGGTAGTGTGGCCTCACCTTTGTTAGAAGTCTGGGGTGCCTCCAATCTCAACAGACTTGTTGTGTTGGACCTTTACAGTAAAGCTGTATGGTAGACCTGTGTTCTGTCTCTCCTCTGCCCTTTAGTTAGTGACCCTGGAAAAATCACTTAGTCTATCTGGGTTTCAGTTTCCTATTCTGTAAAAAAAACGTTGGTAAGGATGTGGAGAAAGGGAATTCTTATACACTGTTGGTATTGTAAATTAGTACAGCCACTTTTTGAAAACAGTAACTAAAAATAGACTTATCATATAGATCCAGAAATCCCACTACTGAGTAAATACCAAAGGAATTGCAGTCGGTATGTTGAGGAGATACCTGCATTCCCACATTCATTGCAGCATTATTCACCATAACCAAGATACGGAAATAACCTAAGTATCTATCATCAGAAAAACAAAACAAAACAAACAAACCCTGGAAATTTTGTCATTTACAACATGGATGAACCTGAAGGGCATTATGTTAAGTGAAATAAGCCAGGCACAGAAAGACAGATACTGCATGATCTCACTTGTATGTGGAATGTAAAAAAAGATGTTCTCATAGAGGTAGAATAGAATGGTGGTTACCAGGGGCTGAAATGGGGGTGGAGTGGGGGAAAGGAGCTATGTTGGTGCAGAGTATCACACTGGAGGAGTAAGTTTTGTATTCTATTGCACAGCAGGTGACAATAGTTAGTAATAATGTATTTTAAAGTAGCCAAAAGAGGATTTTAAATGTTCTCACCCAGAAGAAATGATAAATATTTGAGGTGATGGATATGCTAATTAGCCTGATTTAATTAGCCCACTATAAATATATACATATACATATATATATATATATACATGTATGAAAGCATCACATTTCCCCCATAAATAGACACAGTTATTTGTAATTAAAAATAAAATACCACTTGAAAAATAAAATAAAAACAAAATAGGTTGAGCTAGATGAGGTCCAAGGCCTAAGGTTCTAGCTTATTGTTCATTTATTCTCTGAACCTGTGACCCATTGTTAGGAGCTTTCGGTCAACAGCATGCTGTCTTAGATGAAGTGGTCTAACCTGCACTGACATTTCTTCTCTCGCCTTTTCAGCCATTGTATACATCAGATTTTGGAGAGTGTTAATCACATCCATCAGCATGACATTGTCCACCGGGACTTGAAGGTACTAACTACCCAGTCCCCTTCTCCTTTGTCTCCTACTTGTGATACATTGGCGCCACCTGGTGCCAGGTAATGGTACTATGGCAGCCCAAATTGGGCTCCCTTTGGACTGTAGGATGGGTGCTTCACAAGGTTCTCCCTGTTCCTTCTGCAGCCTGAGAACTTGCTGCTGGCGAGTAAATGCAAGGGTGCTGCAGTCAAGCTGGCTGATTTTGGCCTCGCCATTGAAGTGCAGGGAGAGCAGCAGGCTTGGTTTGGTAAGAGTGACCCTGTCTTCCCAGAATGCAGCCTCCGCCCTTCCTCCTCTTCCTGGTCTACCTTCCTCTTTCAGAACTAGAAGCCAGACTTTTAATGGTCCTGGCCTTCTTGGAAAGTGGAGGAAGGTGGAAATGTGCAGCGATCTGTCCTGGCCCTTCATGACTCAGTGCAGCGAGTCTAGCTGTCAGGGCTGCATTCTTGCTGTCTCTGGGGAGGCGTTGAAGTTCCTGGTAGGCACATGGACTTGCCCTGTGATTTAGATTCCAGGCACTATAAGAAGCCTAGCCTGTCATCTCTTACAGCCTGTGTTCTGGGAACTTACGAAGCAAAAGCAGCAGGAATGGAAGGGCTTTGGAGGAAATTGTGGATGTAAGCTTACTGAGAGAGAAAGTGGGTTCAGTGTGCCTCTACCTTCTCTTCTGCTACAGGGTTTGCTGGCACCCCAGGTTATTTGTCCCCTGAGGTCTTGAGGAAAGATCCCTATGGAAAACCTGTGGATATCTGGGCCTGCGGTAAGCCCATTCCATGCTCTTAGCTTTTTTATGTTAAGGGTTCTTGGCTTCTGGTGATGGCGACAAAGAGAAATTGCTATTCCTTATGGGTCCCACAATGCCTGGTGTATGTGAAATCATGGTGTTCGCACTCGTCCCCTGGGAGGGCTGTTCCTATGATACCGTCCTTCCCAAGTAACTTCCTGGATTACGTTGCATCCTTCTTGGAGAGGGATTTGCCCACGCCTTAGAGGATAGATTATGCTTATAAAAATCTCTGACATGACTTGGTGACATGAGGAGTGAGGCACAGCAGGGGGGCTAGTGGCACAGCATTATCAGCTGGCATCCAGTTCTAACTCTGGTCTGACCCTTGCCTTTCTGGGTGGCTCTGAGCCCTGCATGGCCTTTCTTGGTACCTCAGGAAGTAGGTGACTGACTCCAGTGACCGTGTGTTCTGTCTCATAGGGGTCATCCTGTATATCCTCCTGGTGGGCTACCCTCCCTTCTGGGATGAGGATCAGCACAAGCTGTATCAGCAGATCAAAGCTGGAGCCTATGATGTAAGGATGTGTTTTCTGAGAGCTGAGCAAGCACCTTAGGAAGGACAGATTTCCTGACCCTCAGGTTCTGTCCAAGGGAGTGGTGTGTTTACTGTGTCCCATGATACAAGGGGTGTCAAGAGACTTTGAGGACCCAGGGATGGGCATACAGGACTCAATCTTGCCACCCTGTGTGCAGGGAGCAACCTTTTATTTATTTATTTTTCTTTCTTTCTTTCTTTCTTTCTCTCTTTGGGGGACATTTTGGTATCTAAAAAGTTAAGGAACCCCCTGAAGCCCTCTGATTTTTATTTGCAAAGAATGGCGAAACCATCTGGTGTGCTGCATCACACAGGGAGAAGTCTGGAGGCTCCCTCCACTACAGTGGGACCTTGAATGCATTATCAAGCCTGTTTTCTCTTTATTAGAGAGATGGAGTTGAAGCAGAGAGTGTTGGAGTTCCCTTCCTGGTCTGATTTGAAATTCTGGCATTTTAACCATGATTGTTCTTTTCTTCCCCAGTCTTTAAATTGACACACATTCTGGGATATTCCCAGGATTTTTCCAACTCAGTAGGGCAACTTTGGGCACCACAGAGTATCCCAGTTGTAGGAGTTGGGACAAAAGCACTCTACATTTCAGGATCTGAGGCTTATAAATCACATATCCCTCCTCCCCTCTGTTCCTGCTCCTCAGTTCCCATCACCAGAATGGGACACAGTGACTCCAGAAGCCAAGAACTTGATCAACCAGATGCTGACCATAAATCCAGCAAAGCGTATCACTGCTGACCAGGCTCTCAAGCACCCATGGGTCTGTGTAAGTGTCTTTTTCCCAGGTCTTGCAGATTAGGGGTGGCAGCCCTCCATGCACTCCCTTTACACTCCTTTTTAACAGTAGAGAATCATTTTGGTCCCTAAACAAGGACCTAACAGGTCTGAATGGGGCCCAAAGTCAATAAAAGTCATGTGGGGACTCAGGGAGCAGAAAGGACTAACAGAGACTTTTACTCGTTTCTCCCCCATTTGCTCTTGTGAGGCTATGATTTAGATCTGTTCCTGAACGAGGGTTTAGATTGACCCTGGCAGACTCTAAGTAGTTGATAATAGAAAGCAATTGGTAGAACCCAAGGTGAATTCCCAAGCCTAGGGCATACCCAGTTCTCAAGTCTCAATAAACTCTAATGGAACTGTGACCAGAACTCAGTAAATAAACAAAAGAGGCCTCTGAGCCTCTGACTAGCCTTTATGACTAGCCTCTGAAGCTAGTCATAAAGCTTCTGTGCTGAATCCCCAAGAAAGCTCACTAGACTATCTGTGTGGTTTGATATACTATGTTTTCATACATAATTCAATCAAATATCTACTTTCAGACAAGAAACAGTATGGTATAGTTAGGCATCTTGGCAACCATGGTGCATTTGTTTATTTGTCTATTTTGTGTTTATTGAATGCCTCTTTGTGTTGTTTTTGTTTTGCAGTACTGGGGTTTGAACTCAAGGCCTATACTTTGAGCCACTCCACTAGCCCTTTTTTTGTGATGAGTTTTTTCCAAGATAGGGTCTCTCAAACTATTTGTGTAGGCTGGCTTTGAACCGTGATTCTCCTGATTGCTGCCTTCTGAGTAGCTAGGATTACAGGCATGAACCGCTGACACCCAACTTGTTTTTGTTTTTTGGTGGTACTGGGGTTTGAACTCAGGGCTTCATGCTTGCTAGGCAGGCTCTCTACCACTTGAGCCACTCTGCCAGCCCTTGAATGCCAATTCAGTATTGGTACCAGGCAGATGCTCAAGATACAAAGAGAAATGAAGCATGGGCTCTGTTCCAAAGATATAGCAAGACAGACCCTCAAACAGACAATCATGCTACAATGTGACAAGTATTCGTTAGAATGACTGCAGGAGTTCCTGCTGTCCCTGGCGGGTGTTGGGGTCACCAGAGGCTGCTTGGAGAAGGTGACCTCTGTCCTGATTCTTGGCAGATGACTAAGAGCTCCCTAAGATGTTACTCTGTAGACAGAGGTTAGCATGGGCCATGGAGAGAGGCCATGGGAAATTGTCAAGTGTAAGGAATGTTAAGTAGTTTGGTTGTCGATGAGACTGTGACTATAGGAATGTAAGAGAATGAGGCCAAAAAGATTCCATGACATACAAGTTTCTGCCTAACAAGTTAGGATTTTATTCCAAAAGCATGGAGAGCCATTTAAGAGTTTTAAAGAGAGTCTGAAATTTGCATTTAGGAAAGATCACTTTGAAAGCTGTGTAGAAAATGAAATTGATGAGAGAAGCTGGAGGCAGAGAGCTCAGGAAGCTGTCTAAGCAAGACTAGATTAAATCTTAGCTAATAGTAGAGTTGGGAAAGTGGTAAGTGGAAAATTCAAGAGATATTTAGGACATAGAATCTGAAAGATTTAGTGACTAATTGGATTTGGGGAGTGAAGGAGAGAAAGGGGTCAGCGGGTATTGCTAGGTTTTGAGTTTTGATTCTGTGCTAATCAAATTCTTACTGTGAGCTTGTGTTTTTCAGAAGGAGAAGGGATAGCTACTAAACACCTGCATTTAAGGACAGGGAGAGTTAAAGAAGTCAGCAAAAGGGCCAGAGAATGAGAACTTCCAAGTAGAATAAGATACAAAAGCTAAGAAACAAGAGGTCTTAGTAAGGGAGCATCATTGATCAGATGCTGTAAGAATTCCTGATAAAGATGTAAAAGAATGCACAGCCTTTGACCAATGAGAGACTGTTGTTCCATCATTTCACAAATAGTGGAGTGAGGTAGACAAGGAAGTGAACTGAGGACGGACCTGGAAAGGTAGGCAGTGAAGGGAGAAAACCAATACTCCTTAGAGGAGGATGGATCAGTTTTGTTTTTGATTGATATGTAGTATACATATTAATGTAAATATAATTCGGTACATGCACAGAGTGAGCACTGTTCAACTCCATCCTGCTTTAATCCACAACCTCCCCTGCCCAGCCTCTAGTAATCACTATTCTACATTCAAGTCAACTCTTTTTTTTTTTTGTAACTTCCACATGAGAGAGAACATGTAGTACCTGTGTTTGTGTGTCTGGTTTATTTTACTTAATGTAATGTCTTCCAGTTCCAATGGTTTTTTGTTTTGGTTTTGTTTGGTTTGGTATGGTTTTTTGGTGGTATTGGTGGTTCTTGCCAGACAGGAGCCCCCAGGTCTTTTGCTTCCTGTATTTTTCCAGTAGGGTAAGCTGGGGCCAGCCTGAACCATAGTCTTCCTATTACTCTTCCCACATAAGTTGGATGACAGGTGTGTACCACCACGTCCAACTTTTTATTGGCTGAGATTGGGTCTTGTGGACCTTTTGCCTGGATTAGCTTCCAACTAGAATCCTCCAAATCTCTGCCTGCTGAGTAGCTAGGATTACAGGTGTGAGATATATACTACACCTGGCTCCAGTGGTTTTTTTGTTTTGTTTTTTAAAGATTTTGTTTAAGGAGAAATTTAAATATTTATAGACTACAAAGAAGAATCTAGTCCACAGAAAAGAGTGAAAGTAATGACTAATTGAGGAAGCAAAGATTTGAAGAACAGAAATAAAGAGGAACCCCCCCTGAGCCCAGGACGGGGTCCACCCTGGGCATAAGGAAAAAAACTTCCGAGACTCAGATTAGGTTGGGGGTAAGTGGAAATCAGCTTGTGGGTGGGGTTGATGTGGAAGCAGTGTGTACAGTGCTCATTTCAAAGAGAACCTCTCATTTCTCTTTGTGGAAAAGTTTTCACTGAGGAAGAGAAGGTGTAATGAGACTTGGGGAAGGTAGAGAAGGTGGGGAGAGTTACTTCAAGAACCAAGAAGTAACTCTTGCCCTCAGGGATGAGGGCAAGGATTGTGGGTTTGTGGGTATTAGGCTCTAGGTCCAAGATAGCAACAGCAGAGGGAACACGGAGCAACTTAAAATGAGCTCTCCAGAATTGAGGAAGTACTATGTCCTGAGGGGTCATTTCGAAATCCTACATATCTCTGTAGACCTTGAGGATATGACTATATAATAACATTATGTAATAATGGATGCTCATATTGGTAACTCTGGGTCATCAAGAAAATGTAGACCATGTCTGGTAGATTCTGTTTAAGGAGGCAAGAAAGTTAGTAGTAAATACATTGAAGAAAAATGTCCATCCAGCTGGGCATGGTGGTTCACACCTGTAATCTCAGCTGTTTGGGAAGCAGAGATAGGAGGATTAAGGCTCAAGGCCAGCTCAAGCAAAAGGTGTTATTGACACCCTGTCTGAAAAACAAAACTAGAAACAAAAAACAGGAGCAATTCCCAGTACCACCAATAAAAAAAGAAAAGGAAGGGAAGGAGGGAGGGAGGGAGAGAGGGAGGAAAGAAAGAAAGGGAAGAGGGAAGGAGGATTTCCATTCAAAATGATGAGAAGAATTGATGCTTTAAGGCAAAGATCCTTAGCTTTTCAGCTCAATCTTCGTTCAGGACCTCATGGGTTATGTTTAGAGGGCTCTTGGAAGGAGTGAATATTCTCTAGAGAGCAGGAGCTGGCCTCTCACTGCTCAGAATCTGGACCATAGAGACTTTCAGTAGACAGTTGCTGAAGAGGTAACTGAACAGGATCACAGCACACCGGATATTCTCTCCCATTCTCAGCCAACTTTGTCCAAAGAAGATTAGAAAGCTCTCTGAGCACCCTCATCTAGCATCAGTTATTGGTGGTATTTTCATGTTCAGATTGTCCTTTCATTACCTTAGGTTTGAGGGAGTACTTTTGGTCTAAAAGCATCTTTACCTCTGTGACCTCATTTGATCTTCAAAGCAGCTCTGTGGTGGCAGAGCACAGAATCTTGACCTGGCATGGCTATTGGTGCCAGGACTAAGGTGAAGGGCAGAGGATGTGGGCTGGGGTTTTCACAGGCCTGTCTGTTTGGCTTTCAGCAACGATCCACGGTGGCCTCCATGATGCATCGCCAAGAGACTGTGGAGTGCTTGCGCAAGTTCAATGCCCGGAGAAAACTGAAGGTAAGTCTTCTTTCTGGGCCACTAGCCTTCTAAAACTGGACCTTTTAGCAGTGCAGCTCCTGACCCATCACAGGAGGAAGTCCTCCTCCTGCTAGAGCTGAGTTAGGAAGGTTGTACATTTGGAAGTACCAGAAACCTGATGTCTTCAGGCTCTAGCCAGGAGCTGCTTTTGCCTGAGGCCAGGCTACCCTTTTCTAGAGTACACTTGTACTTATTGGTCCCTCCTCTTTCCCCAGGGTGCCATCCTCACCACCATGCTTGTCTCCAGGAACTTTTCAGGTATGTGTTCCCAGCTGTGCACTTTAATTCTACAGAGGTGAGTGGGTCAGAAATAGAGTATGGCCATCTCAGGTAGCACAGGTGTCTCATGTAACACCTTGAGCAGGATAAATCAGGATCCTGTTTTGAGGGGCTGCTGCTCCCAAGTCCTGTTACTGAGATTCTTTGGGGACTTGGAGAAACTTTTGTAAGGGCTCAAATTCTATTCCTTAGACTCTCCCAAAAGTAGGCTGCTCAGCCTCCTATGTACCTTGTCCCTGTATATTCTTACTCAATTCTCTGAAAGCTCGTAGGCTTTTAGGATTTTAGCCAGTCTCTAGGGTATTAAAGAATGTGCTGGAAACAAAAAAAAAAAAAAAAGAGAAATGAGGTACCATGAGTTGTTTCAATTGCTACTCACTAAGATGATCTCTTCATTTTGTCCAAGCAGAGATGCCCAATAGAAATTATTCCAGAAGTTTAAACCTTTTATGATGACCCAGGTTTAAAGTAGTCTTTGTGATACTAGCTGTAAAAGTAAAGATTCAGAGACCACTAGCTAGGAGGAAAAGATCTCGCTTAGATTTGCATGAGGAATTGGGAGAGTTGGGATCCAGTAATTTGTAAATCATACTTGACATTTCTTTTTAAGATGCAAGACACTCCAGTTCCCATTCTCACCCCACCCCCATCATTGTTTGCCCTCAGTTGGGAGCACAATGACTTTTCTGTGAGGAAAAGATTAATGTTAAGACTTAACTGAAGACAGGCAGGTCTCTCCCCAGCTTGCTGTTGCCCCGGTTTTCTTCCTTCTAACCCCCAGCCTTGCTGTTGTGATTTAAGATTTCCCCCCTTTCCACTTTTTATCCTCCTAACAAGACTTCCTCCCTTGCTTTCCTCCTTGCCGCATGGAAAAAGGCTTGTGCAGAAGCATACCAGCCACCAGTCAGGGTTGGCAGTCACTCTGAGGAGGGATTGCTTCCTTGAGTTCGAGTCCTGATGGGCTCAGCAGTGCTTACATCCTAGTTCCAGGTAACCCAAGGGCCTTGGCTCAGAGGAGGCTGCAGGCAGGAAGGCTTCACAAGCTCCAGCCTGACAGTTGCATTGCTCCAGAGTGTAAGGACTGGGTAGTGAGCCCAGGGATGCCCCATCTTGTACCATCCCCTGTGACCCTGGTTTGGGGGTTCATTCTTATGTTGTGGATATGCAGTGGGGAAGATTGTGGTCCCAGATTCTTCCTCTCCTAGAGGGGAACAAGAGTAAGCGGTTGGCTGCCTCCCATGGAGATGGAGTTGTGGCCCCACACTGTGCTTCTTGTCCTCTAATTACTTGTATCTTCTACTTTCTGGGCTTAAAACCTTTCTAGAGGATGCTCAAGGACATTTCTGTGTTGCCCCTGGAGTGGTGATCTGTCCTCTCTCCTCTGAGTCAAAGAAATATGAAAACAGACTACTGTTTCTCTTCTAGCCTGGTCAGTCAGCAGCAAGAGTCCTGTCCCATGGCCTGGAGCCTCCAAATCAACCTCTCCCTCCATTTGGAGAAATTGATTTCCTGGTTTCAGGCATATGGGCTGTATGTTAGGACAGAGCAATAATTAATCCCTAAAGAGCCTCCTGTCCTTATTGCCCAGACCTTGTCTGGTTTTTTTTGTTGTTGTT